AATATACTAAAGTATATTTTTATTTAAATATAATACAAGTTTACAGTAATAAATGCAATGATTCTTTTCTTTTCCCGGGAATAATTTCTGGTGTTAGTTTTTATTCATTCTTTCTAAAAATATATTTAAGAAAATAATTATTCAATTATATAATTCTAGTTTCGAACTGAATATAGAAATTTTTTACCATATTCTATATTTGATTATATAATCAATACATAATAATAAGGCATACGAAATCAATGTTTATAGTATTATAGGAGTTTTCGTGTATTTCAAGGTCGCTTTATAATTTCATTATTGTTATTTTTTAGTAAACATTTGATACGCTGTTATAATTAGTTCTTTCTGACTATATTTCCTCTAGCATTTAAATTTTTTAAAATTCGGTACATACGATAGCTGTAAATGCAAACACCTGTTGCATTTCCTGATGATATATATTATGATATTACGTAGATTACAAAGTTGCTTTTACTTAAAAAATCGATAATATCCGTGACTTATTATTGATTGTCACACACAAGAGCATTTATTGAATTACATTACATGTTCCATACGATAAACTGTATTTATAGCTATTTTGCTGTGTGTACTCTTTGAAGTGACGCAATTTAGTAGTCTAAAACAATATACTGTAGTTATGTATAAAGTCTTGTTTATTTTTTAAATAAATTTACTTCTGTTTTTCATCTATACTCTCTCTCATAGATACAGCATTAAATTTTTATCTTTGTTATTAATCTTTACGGCAATCGTTATACATTATGAATTTTCGTGTATATAATGGCTTACTTAAACAGCCTAAACTATCTTTAATATTATTAAAAATTTAAATTTTAGTTTATAATTATTGTTATTTATTAAGAAAAAAGTGTTTAAACACTTTATAATAAATCATTTTTATGGCAATTGTTATTTAAATAAATTGATTTTTAGTGCAAATAATGTTTTAATGATCTTTTTTCTATTCTTTTTTTGATCTCTTTTAATACATATATATATTTAAAAATTCTTATCTGTTCTAATGGCAGTAGACCGATTTCTCTTTTGACAGAGACAGGTATTTTATAAATACTGTATACACTGTACAGTACAGTACCTGGACATGGATCATAGGGAAATAAGTTTATTCTAGAATTGTGAATGTAAAACAGTGTGTTAAATACCAGCCAGTGTTTACCTCTGGAACAAATGTAAATTCATAGTATAGGAATGGTTCAAAAAGAAAAATACGGACAACTGCAGAAAATTGTAAAACGTTTTTGAGAAGTGTTCTCCGTTATTGGGCAGAAAACTTAAATTTTCATCATTTTAACATATGAATATTTTAAAATTCTTTTTATTTATGAGACGTTTTCAAACATACGTATTTACAAAGTTTAATCTTTCGAGAAAAAGCGAATGGCGATCGTCAAAGGGTTTTTTAATTCATGTAAGCGGCGCACGAGCGTCTCCACGCAGATGTACTATAGCTTTGCATATCAGGGGTCTAGGACACCGATAAACATGGTTTCTATCTGACGATTATCTTTTGAAAATGATCTTTATTCTTTAATTAAATGTTTCGAAAAAAATTATTAATAAACTTTAAAATATGCATCAAATTTTATTTAATTCACACCTTTTTATGTACAGATAAGGATTTTATTTTCAAGAGACGATGTTATTAATACTTTCAGTACATGGTGGGATGACGAATGGCCTCGCTACTTCTATAAAATACCACAAAACTCCTATGATGGTAACACAATTTAGCGAGATCATGCCGCTATATTGAGATTTCGTGCTTATTCATGCACAAAATCTCAAACCCGAAGGTAGGCGTTAATTCTAAGATAATAACTTTGTTTTCGAGCGCTAACTTGATAATTTACCTGGCGAGATAATGCCGCTACTTAAAAAAAAACGCATGTAGGTAAAAGTTTATTTTCATGTAATTGTGATACTATCGGGATGTGATAGAGTAGCGAAGTGACGTCCATTTCTGTAAAATGCTACAAAGTTCCTAAGACGGTATCGCAATATGGAGAATACATGCCGCCATGTGCCTCTCGGTCTTTCCAAGTACAGCCAGGTCCCACCGAGAGCATCCACGAGTTGTGGATAGTGAAACGACCTTAAACGAGGTTAATAACAAAATAAATGTAACACATCAATGAATAAGCACTAATATTAACACACTGGCATGCAGTGGCACTAATATTAAAATATTTATTTTCTTTTATAATAGGTATTTACCAACAAGTGATTTCATATTTGGATGCTTTACGGTAGTTAGTTTGGTACTTATCTTTCAAATGACAAATTTTTAAATGTGGTCTTATTTTAATTTAATTTAATTGTTTTATTTCGAACTACTTGGAAAACAATTGAAAAACAATGAATATTTATGAAGATCGAAGACTAGAAAAATCTGAATTTGTTTGGATAAGAATCGGTAGGCCTATAATTAAAACCCACAATAAGTTCCGCGCTAATAACAACATAAAACCACTGAACACTGTTAGTTAGTCATAGGTTCGCGCCAACGGATTGGTCTCACGTGACGTTTTCCGGGTTTTCTTCACGTTAGCAGTACTTAAATAGGAGTCAGTTTTTCACAAAAAAACCTCCAGGGAGGCATTTTTCCCTTCGGCAGACCGCCCATGTGTCGCGTTCTCAAAACTTACAAATGATTAAAAACGATGAGTAACTACGTGCTAATACAAAATCCTAAGTACAGAAGTTGTATATTCGCATGCATTAGTGGTTTATGTCAAAGATAAAATTTCCCATTCTTTACCCTTATTCTCATTGTAAACAGGTCATCAATGGAAGTGGGTGAAGGCGGATAAACTACGTTAATTTCGACGTAAACATCAAAATGCGCGAAATTGTGGTCATCCGTATAATCTGAAGATGAAGGTACAGTACCATACAATCACAAAAAGAATACAGTATAGCTAAGTTATTACAGATGACTTTAACTACACAATCAGTGTGTAAAATCAATTTGCCTTGTATAACTTGGTGATATTCCAATTTTATGCAAACTGTGTAACACCGCTGAGATTTTGTGCTCTGTTTTCATTCACAGCACAAAAATCTTCATATGTAATACATAATTTTTGATGAAATTTTTACGCGATATTTAAAAAATATGTTAAATATTGAATATTTTAATATATATATGTACATACGATAGCTGTAAATGCAAACACCTGTTGCATTTCCTGATGATATATATTATGATATTACGTAGATTACAAAGTTGCTTTTACTTAAAAAATCGATAATATCCGTGACTTATTATTGATTGTCACACACAAGAGCATTTATTGAGTTACATTACATGTTCCATACGATAAACTGTATTTATAGCTATTTTGCTGTGTGTACTCTTTGAAGTGACGCAATTTAGTAGTCTAAAACAATATACTGTAGTTATGTATAAAGTCTTGTTTATTTTTTAAATAAATTTACTTCTGTTTTTCATCTATACTCTCTCTCATAGATACAGCATTAAATTTTTATCTTTGTTATTAATCTTTACGGCAATCGTTATACATTATGAATTTTCGTGTATATAATGGCTTACTTAAACAGCCTAAACTATCTTTAATATTATTAAAAATTTAAATTTTAGTTTATAATTTTTGTTATTTATTAAGAAAAAAGTGTTTAAACACTTTATAATAAATCATTTTTATGGCAATTGTTATTTAAATAAATTGATTTTTAGTGCAAATAATGTTTTAATGATCTTTTTTCTATTCTTTTTTTGATCTCTTTTAATACATATATATATTTAAAAATTCTTATCTGTTCTAATGGCAGTAGACCGATTTCTCTTTTGACAGAGACAGGTATTTTATAAATACTGTATACACTGTACAGTACAGTACNTCGCGCGCGTGGGATTGTGGGATCTTTCTTATGACTGGATCTAGTTTCGAGAACTCTCTCCAGTCGATCGCGATTTAGCCTCGTTTCAGTCGAGATTGAAACGGTCGAGAGCGTTCGCACCACGGAACACTCTCCGACCTTAGTCACAATCTAGATCGAAATGCTCGGTGCGAACGAGGTATAACGCGTCGTTTAGAATCTACAGGACTGCGCCGACAGGTAATACAAAAATGAAAGTAATAAAATAATGACACGAAATATGCATTCATTGTTACAAGTACCCTTGCAGACTGTTCACAGAAGGTATTCAAAGTCTTCCTCCTGAATTTCAATTGTTACGACGGTCGGACACGATCGAACATATTGGGGTCTCTGCCGAGTTTGGAAAAAAGCAGTCTATCTGTATTCTCAGTATTAGTTCCTCTCTGTCTTGCTGCTTGGTAGAGTTGCCAGACGAATTCGCCATAAGATTTAAGCCCATATTTTCAGTGTCATCACTTCAATTATGCATAAATTAAACCACATACACGGGCGTCAGCTGCAACTCTTCCAAGAGGGAAAAACGGGTACCATTTGTCAGGCTAATAGAGCTTATATCAGGCAATTTACCGTGCTACAGAGTGAGGCAGAGACTCATTGATGAATTAATTATAAGGTTTCAACTTCTAAATATCGCCCACGCGATCCAGTGCGGAAAACGAGCTGTTTGTCCCTATCGGATGTTCCTGCATACATAGGCTACCTTCTGTATTTTTTATAATGATTGTGATATCTTAAAAATTTGAAGATATATTCGTATTTATAATTAAAGGCTGAGAGGTGAGGAGATAGTGGGTGGTCACGTGTTATAGCTCGAGAAGGGTCGGGCTTAATGGAG